AAAACTTTCTTGAGCATCTGTCTTCCATGGGGGCCTTCTGCCATGCTGCCCTGCCTTGCCTAGCTATGGACTGAAACCTTTAAAAACCATGAGCTCAAATAAAGCTCTCTTGAAGTTGTGGGTGTTAGGTATTTTGTCCCAGCTAAAGAAAGTAACTAAGACACATGCTAATTTTCAAAGATACAAAAAGGAACAGAAAAAAAATAGAGGGAAGCCAGATTTTGTCTGCAGGCTACACTTTGATGACCCCTGATCTGGAGGAGCCAGGTTTTATTCACATGTCTGGTGGCATGGCAGAGACGGCTGGAAGGTTGAGCTGGGCTGGGACTGTTGATCCAAACTTACACAAGGCTTTTCCTGCCTGGTGGAGTCAGGGGAATAGAACATCTTACATGGAGAGCTCAGATCCCCAGAAAACACACTTCAAGAAAGACAGGTGGAATTTGCAAGGCCACTTATGACCTAGTTTCAGAAGTTGCAAAATATCCTTTCTACTTCATTCTTTTATTTAAATAAGTCTAAAGGTCAGCTTGGATTGAGAGGAGCTCAGACTCCATCCACTCTTCATGGGAGTAGTGAAAAATATATTTCCATCCTTGATCTACCACATCATTCTCTAAATCTCACTGTAGACTAGTCCCATGGCTAGAACCTCAAAGTACCAAGAACCTCTCTTCTGTTACACTTATCGTGGTTATAATTCACATTTATTTATATGATCGTTTGATCTTTGTCTTGCTCCTCTACTAAACTGTATGCAGCCACCTTAAGAGGAGCTATATCTGGTTTTTCTCATTTCTGGATTCCCAATGACTGACTCAATAAATATTAGTTGAATTAATAAACAAATAAATGCTTAATAACTGTTCTAGTATTGATTGCATTGCTTTTACATTTCTTTGTATTGCTCTCAAGCTTTCTTAAAATTTAGCGGCATCCAATTGCCTTCTTATTTTGCAGTTCAGAAACTATCTCTAAAAAAAGGGAAATGAATTTGCCCTATTCCTCCTCCTTTGTCTCAAGGAAAATAATAGCTGCTCTATGTACATAGCTTCAGGTTCTGAACCTCTGAGAAACACTTCATGCAGCATGTCACATCCAGAGGCAAGCCAAGGCCCCAGGCAGCTGATGTTCCCACTGGGCCCACTCTCCTCACACTAGTGGATTTGTCCATCCAGCAAGCCTGGCTTGTCCAGCCCCACAATGCACTGGCAGTGGCAATGGGCCATGCTCTCATGCTGCCGGGTTGAGGCGGACCTAGTCCTTCCTCCGTGGAGTTTGTGGCATCTCCTGTTCTGCTTGAAGCCAGGGCTTCATGTGCCCTGAGAGATGTTAAGTGTTACTACCTTTCACTTGACCTACTGTTCTTCATGGATACACTTTCTTTTTAGTACTGGGTGAGAAACCACAGCCTACACGTCCTTATATCTCCCAAAACCTCTAGAACTAACCTGATGCTGAATAAACTCAGTAAATGTTTTCCTAAAAAACATTTGAATGAATAACCTTCCTGAGACACTTGCTAATTTATCAGCATTTCCTGTGGTACCCTGAGTACCACTAGTGTGTTCCAAACTAAGTTGTGAGATTGGAAACCTTTTTCTTGGTTTCCCTACAGTAGAAACTACCTTGGAAACCCTTCTCTCACTTCCTATTTCATCATGTCTGCACTTCCCTGTCTCACTGAATTTCTGGCCACCACCACCTTATGTCCCCTCATCTGCCTTTTGCCTGTGCTACATCCTACATGCTCTTCAGATCTGAAACACAAAAGATATTCTTTTCCTTTTTTCTATCCCAATATTCCTATTTCCCCAGAGTGCTTGTAGGTGCACCTGAATCCAGACCCACCCAGGAATTGGATTACCTGTCTGGGGTAAGAGCAGAAAAGAGCTCTCTGAGGCCTGGCAAGTGATAGATTTTCAAGCAATCTTTGTGGAATGAATGGCAGCTCAGAATAGACAAGGAGTACTATGAGCCTCCACCCAAATCCCAGCTGTCTCCCTGACTGTCCCACTCTGATCCCAGGAACCACCATCATGCCTGGTCCCAGAGATGCTTGCTCTGGGAGTGGTTGGAATCCGACATTCCTGCTTGCTCTCACCGCCCAGCTCTTCAGCTGGCTGGCATTTTAAAGGGGCTCTACCAGTGTTGGATAGAAATCGGTGGGGCTGGATGATTTAAATCACACCTCTACCATTCAGTAGCTGGGTAACTGAGGGCAAGTTACCTAACCTCTTTTAGATATTGGTTCTTCATCTAAGATATAGGGGTGAATAGTCTCATCTCCTTAGGAGGAGAAACAGTGTAATTAACCTTTCACCCAGCTCTTACTAATGTTCTATGAAGGATTGGGCATGTAAAGTAAGTGAAAATGATATATGCCAGGTACTCTCTGGTTTCTTGAGTGAAAGTATTTATGTGAAGTCTACTTTTTGGGGTTTTGACCGATTCACTCACTTCACAGACCTTATTCTAGTCATAGCAGACAGAAACCTCCTCTCAAAGAATCCCCCTATAAATTCTTAGGTTCTTTCCTCTCCCCTTTTTGTGTACTCCTTCTAAGAATAAATGTTTCCACTGCTTGGCTCTCTGGAGAAAGACAAGACTTGTGGTTGGGGTTGGAGTTTGTTCCCAAGGAAACAGTGACATTTCTGCACTTCTTCTGAGGCAACAACTTTGGAGGAAGTGGCTTTCTAACTCAACCTCTGTGCACGCACACACACACATATGCACACACACATACACACGCACACATCATCACACTATGGTTGGGGATGAGAGGCATTCTTCACACAGGACATTTGTACTGTATAATAGAGGATCATGTCAATATTAAATATTTAGCACCATATTTTAATAAGGCCACTGACAAACTAAGTGTCCAGAGTGTTTTCCTGGATGATGTGCAGTCTCTAAATTAATGTTAGCAACATTCCTCCAAAGGACTGCTACTGCTGGGCCTTGCCAGGATGTTGAGGAGGGATATGACTGCTGTCTTTGAATCTTTAAAGGCTTCGGGCTGAAGTGTGGTAAGCTTACTCTGGATAGTTTCAAAGAACAAACCCAGTAGCAGCGAGAAGAAGTGAAGGAAAGGCTTTTTTTTTTTTTTTTTTTGGTACCAGGGATTGAACTCGGGTCCTTGCGCTGGCACAGCAGGCGGCGAAACCACTGAGATAAATCCCTGGCCCCAGGAAAGGCTGTTTCTAACCCAGGGGAAGAGAGTTTCCAAGTAGAGAAATCTAAAATGGTAGTGACTTCCAGGTCAGGAGCAGTGCTCCTCCCCGCTGAGTTACAAGAACCATTTGTCCAAGATCTTCTAGCACTATACTAATTTCATGTAATTATTTGAATTATCAGTTATTTGTTAGGTTTATAGCAAAATATAATTGCTTTAGTGTCCCTGTTTGACATGTCACCCCAGAAAAAAATTGTCTTTGGTTAGGTTAAGCAAACTGATTTTTAGGTTGGAAACAGGAGGGATTCCTATATTTAGATGAGAATTTAGACTCAAAGGGGCCACAGTCCTCAGATTGTATGATAAATAGGATGCTGCTAGTGATTCAGGACAAGGAAGTACACAGGAATCAACTTTCCAGGCTGAACCTGGAGTGGTGTCAGCTTTGGCTCAATAAATAAGCATCCCAGGAACCACCACTATGCCTGGTATAAAACCTATTAAAATTACTGCAAGGCAGGGAGAGAGAAAGTGGGAGCCAGCCATTCAGTTCAAATATCAAACACCTACTGTGCATTTCAGGGACTGAACACATTTGTAACATTATTGTAAAGTGCTAATTTTCTACATGTAAAGGAACTCTCTACAAATCCATTTTTTACAAAGCCAAAGACTCAAGAGTGAACAAAAGAAATGTACAGACAGTATATGGGAAGGGGAATAGTATTTCTTATATATTTGAAGAGATGTGCTGGGTGCTATGGGAATAGAGGGGAAGGGCGTCTAGCATGGCCCAAAGGATCAGAAATAGTTTTAAACAACCACCCCTACCCCAAAGGAATAAACTTCTGCTACTGGATAAAGAATAGTTCTGCATCTTCTCCTGAGCATTGGTTTATTTCCATCAACAAATTTGTAAATTAGTGGACAGTCCTGTGAATTAATTCACCAGTTGGGTTTTCCTTTTCACCTTAGCTGTCAAAAATCTATAAGCCAGCCAGGTGTGGTACTGAATGCCACTATTCCGGCACTTGGCAGACTAAGGCAGGAAGATTATCATTTTGAATTCAGCCTTGGCTATATACTGAGACTTTGTCTCAAAAACCAAATAAACAAAATAACAAAATCTGCAAACCAAACTTGCATCCCACCCAATGCAAAGGAGGCAGATTTCTGTGATAAGTGTATGCATTGGCCTTGTCCCTGGCTCCACTTTATAGTTCTGTACCGTATTTGGTGGGCTTTTCCAGATGTTTCTAGTGTTGGTCCTTCCCTTATTCTGTGCTTCCTTGTGAGCCACTCTACAGCCATTTTGGCCTAAGTTGAATATGTATGTGAGTACCTAATGCAATAAAAGATTATTTTTTCTAATGTCACAGCCAGTTTGGGTCAGTTGTTGGGGAAGGGTGGAGAGAGCTGTTTCACTAAGTTATTCAGCAAAGCCTCTTCTATCGTGAGGTTTGACCATCTTCTAGACCTCTGAGCTTTTTCTCTAGATCCCCTGCATCTAAGGAGACAGGAGAGAAGAAGGAAGAGGTGCTAGTGGCCATGTCTGGAAGTAACATACATCTTTTCTGCCCACAGTTTCATTGGTCAGAACCCAGTCACACACCTTGCCTAACTGCAAGGGAGGTTGGGAAATACAGCTTCTCTGTGAAGCTAAGAGGAAAAGAAATGGCTTTGGTGAGCACATAGCATTTTCTCTGCTGCACCTGGGAACCCAAGAAAATCCCAGACTCCACTTCCAAGTCATATTTTGGTGAACACTGGTTTACAATTTCACCTTCTAAACAAGTTTTATCTTTTCTTTTTTTTACTTTAGCACCATGGGACCAGGTATCATTCTCGTTTTGATGGCCCTCCTGCACTCTGGTAAGAAACTTTTCTTCTCTATGTAAAGTCCCCAAATCCTTCCACCATCACCCAATGGTCTGACCACTGTAAATCCATCTGGGGACATGGTGGGTTTTGCTCATGTATGACTTACCTTGTATATAATACTGTGTGCCAAAAGTGTTCCCTGGAGAAGGTTCTGCTCTCATGACTAAGACCATGAGTCTTAGACTAAGACTATGACTAAGACCAGACTTGCCTGGGAAGGAGCCCTCCCCCTGTTCCATCCTCCTACCTGCTATTTCATCTACAAGGGCCTGGGTGCACAAAATAAGATGGACTGGCCTACGCAGTAGCTCCCTGCCAGGAGCACATGTATATTGACTCTTCTGCTCCACACATACCCTCTCTGGTCTTCTCTGTCCCCATTTCTGGGATTCTTAGGCTCTTAGGAAACCACTAATGGGCTCCCAAAAGCCTTCTTCTGTTACAGAGTGTTTGCTTCTGTCTTCCCTCTCCCACACCCTCTCCCTTTCCCACTAGCCCATACCCATAGACCACTGTCACGGCTTATTAGTAACTACAGCCCTTCAGCTAATCATGTCAGCTAACTTACCATGAAGCTAATGAAGCTGATACTTCAGTGGTCTCTACCAGCACAAGTCCTTTCCAAATCCCCCTTAAGACCCCATGAAGGGCCTCAGCAGTGCACTTATATATCTTACAATTTGGTGAGACCTGAATAAGCAAGCTATTTTAACCACAATGAGGCAAGACCAATGCCATTTTCGCACTGTATTTCTTCCCTCTATCACTTTTTCCTATGTCTGCTGACATTGTAACAGCCATGGGCATTTTATATTTGAATTGGGCAATCTTTTACTTAAAGACTCCTCCACCCAAATATTTTTAGAAGTGTCAGATATCGCAAAACTCAGACCTTCCCTGTTTGCTGCTTCTCTTTGAGTTTCAGTTTCTTCATCTTTAAACTCTGGTTGGCCGAGGCCTGGCCATATATCCTGAAACTCTGTGCATTTTAGCTTCTCCTGGCCCACTCCTTTCTGATGCTCATTTTCTCCACCCGTAGCACTGAGATAGAAGCCATCCCAGCTTGATAGGAGATACATCAGAGGCCAACCAAGGCTGTGGTTTGGCTACAGCACCTGCAAGGCACTCTGAAGTTCCCCCCTCCACACAGTCAAACAACAGGCCCTTGGCCCCATGCCTGCTATGGGTGACGAGGGGCCGGCCTAGTATGGAGAAGTGCTCTTTGGCTCACTGCTGGTTCGGATAGGCTTTTTGTGATTTCTGTTTTCTGCTTAGCACCTTGGGGTTTGCTGAGTCCATGAGTGTGAGGTGTACAGATGTGCTAAGTGATCACATCACCAACTGAGTATAGCAGCCACCTTTACCTCCCAGGGTCAGTGACCTGCTACCATTGAGGCACGTGGGAAGTGTATGTGGGAAGAATAGGAGAGAAAGGGAGAGCAAGAGCAAGAAAGAAAGGGATAAGACAAGATTTTGGACTTTATCCAAGACTATTTTCTTATCCCACTTCTTATTTATTTGAATTGTGTGTGTGTGTGTGTGCGCGCGCGCACGCGCACACAGGCACATGTGTGTCTCTGTGCCAGATACTGTTCTAAGCATTTTATAAATATTCACTCATTTAGGCATCACAATAACTTTCTGCTTTAGGTCTTATTATTATTCCTCATTTTAAAATGTGAACACTCAAAAAAAAAAAAAAAATACAAACAGGGCCGGGAATTTAGCTCAGTGGTGCCGCTGCCTGCCTCACAAGCTCAAGGCCCTGAGTTCAATCCCCGTTACCAAAAAATAAACAATAAAAAAAAGATGTGAGCACTAACACCGAAAGAGGTTAAGTAATTTACTCCAGATCAACAAAGCTCAGTACTAAGTGGCAGAGCATGGATTCACGCAGCATCCGTTCCCTGGGCTGTGGCCTCAGACTGCTTCTCCTCACCCTTGCTCGTGACTCAGAAGCAGCAAGGTTTCTCCCCAGGACCCAGGCAGCTGTGGTGAAGATCACTTCTGCCTGCATGCTCACAGGCTCCCAGGGGCACATCCTTTCCTTTCCTGCAGCAGACATCAAAGTGTTCCCTAAGCTGGAAGCCCAGCTGTCCTTATCACACTGACAGTCCAGCGCTTCTGTTCTGGGAGAGAAAGAAGAGAAATGGCCTTGTCACAGACGTTCAGAAAGGCTCCACGGAGTGACCATTTGGCCCCCAAATTTTCTAAGTCTGCACACTGAAAGTGAACAAGTAAAGCCAAGAAACCTGATCAAAATCAAGTCAGGTGTCACTTTTGCTTTTACTTTGCTTTGAAATTGCTTAGAAGAGAGTTATCAATATTAAAACTTTAAAAATAACTCCCCCAAATGATAACTATTTAAGTTCCATGATGGTGAGAGGATAAGTGACAATATCAGGGGCAGAACAAATGTAATGTGGAAAAGAAAAACAATGACATTCAAATAGAACATAAAATTACCAGCTGGGCTATGGTTGTGCAGCCCTGTAATACCAGCTTTCTGGGAGGCTGAGGCAGGAAGATTACAAGATCAGGTCCAGCCTGAGAAACTTAGTAAGACCCTGTCTCAAAATGAAAAACAAATAAAGGGCTGGCGATATAACTTAGTTCACAGGCCCAGGGTACAACTTTCATTACTGTAAAACAAACAAAAGCATTGCCAACACCTCACATACAATTAAAAACAACAACAACACAGATTCTATTTATTTTTAAAGAAAGAAAGGAATCCTTTTGGATTTTATCTCTCTTCTCAGGGCACACCTCTGTTTACTGGGGTACTGCAGTGATCTTGCACAAGGCTGGCATCCAAAGGGAGAAAAGAGAAGCCGTTGGCCCCTATAATCCATGGCAGAAACCCAGGGCTGAATAATTTATTTGATGACATAGATTAAACAGCACAGTGAAACAATTTTTTCCTCCTCCCCCCCAACCCCGTGTTTTTTGTGTCCACCTTTATCATTGAAATTAGACACCTTAGTGACCGCTCCTCCTCTTGAAGCTAAGATTGAAGGAGAGTTTAAGACTGAAAAGTGTAAGAGGGGCAGCCAGGGTTTTGTAGAATTAGGCTATGATTAGTTCTTTGTATTTAAGAAGCTAAAAGAATTTCTAAGTGCCACGGTCAACCTCTGTTGCTATTCTAACACTTCCATGACACCTTCAAACTACAGCCAAAATGGTTTTGTTATTTTTGGAAAATAGGTAGGCCCCACATTTGGATGGGATTTGATTTTTTTTTTCTTTTTGTGTTTGGAGATGGAGTCTCGCTATGTTGCTCAGGCTGGTCCCAACTCTCAGGCTCAAGTGATCCTCCTGGGTAGCGGGCATTACACGAGTCTGCCACTGCACCCTGCTCAGTCTGACTTTTCATACTCTTTGTCTGATGATGCTCTGGGTCCTGGGCTTCTTTGCACACTACCTCTGGTTCAATGCATATATCTGGAGTTGTAGTTAAAGTCTTTCACTGTAAGATTTACATAAAATTGGATCAAACTCTTTCTACATTCTGTAGAAAGGTCTGCTGTTTCCCCCATATCCGATTTTTCCAGAGTCCTGTGTGTATAGCTGTGTGAAGATAATGTTTGCATGGTTACTTTTGACTCTCATTCCTGCTGTTGTAGATAGTGGTCACTAAAACCACCATGCAGAGGTAAATTAACAGTTCAGACCTATTGGTCACAAAGAGTTATCATGGAGCTCATTGATTCCATTTGAATCACTCCTTTGTGTTAAACCACTATCTCAGGGACGTTTGAAATATACGTATGTTACCTGGTAGGAAATATCTTGCCCCAAATTTGTAGATCATTTTAGCAGAATGTTTTTAGGAGATTTCACAGATAATGAATGAGCTGCCAGATAATTTACTGTAGTAGAAGATGGTCACAGAATAGGGTACCTTCAGGGCTGTTTGAGAGCAAGGGTAAAAATGGTAGTAAAAGGTAAAGAGCCAATGACAGATGCACTTGTTTGGGAAAGAGCAAGAATTTGACAGACTATGACTTAGTTTTCCTTTGTGAAAGGGGAAATCTTAGCACCATTTCTATAATATATAACCTGGGGTTTGGGTCCCTCAGTATTATTGAGCTTTATGGTGTCAAAGGGCAATTTTACAGCAGTTTAGTTTAAAGATCTTGGTTGGTTTTATCTTGCAGTTCCCGGAAGCAAGCACTACTTCAGGTAAAAGTTGTTTTTATGTACTGAAAAGAGCTGAAAGAGCAGAAAGAAAAAGCAGATTGGTCATTTCAAAGTTATTTTCCCTGTAAGATGGGGACAAGGAGAGAGAACAATACAAAAAGGTTATCAGATAACATCAGAATACTTTAGATAATTTTTTGTAAGAATTAAAGGATATATAGATTAAGGAGAACGGAAATTCATTGTCATGCTGATTAGCCTGTTTGGGAAATCTGGGGATATCCCCATGCTCTTGATTTCTTGGAAGGTCAGGTAACAAGTGAATTTTGGTTTGGTGATATGGAACTTTAGCATAGATGACTTCATTTTGATTTTTCAGCAATGGAAATAAAAATACCTGTAGCCCCATTTTTATGATCACGATTTCACTTCTCCAGTTGATCTACCCCAAAGAGGCACCCTCTTTTACAGTACCAAGCCACAAGGCCAGTTTCTAGGATCTTAAAATTAGGGAAAAATTTTTAATACCCTTTAATTCTTGCCCTTTCTTGATTTCATTTTTGCCTCTTTTTTCATTTCTAGATATATGTTCTATCAAAATATTCAAATCTCCAATCATTCCTCAGATCTCAAATTAAAATCACTTTAATGGCCTTATAAGTCACTTTTATGACCTTTCTTAGGCAGAAACAGATAAGACAATAAAAATTAGTTATATGCAATTGTGAACACAATATATATGCAAATGTCTGAATGTTTTATTGAATATCATTTCATACATACTTTCTCAAGTTTCTAAGAACTTTTCATTTTTATAATGTTTAAAATCATAATAGTCCTTTGAATTG